CAAAGAACTTTACTGGTTGTGATGGCTGACATCAGTTCTTTGCCGAAAAGTTATATTTGTGCGCAAAGGATGATTTTGATAATGGAATATCATACGATTCTCTTTCCGTTCGCCCCTCTGAATGCACTTTGTGCAGCAACTATAGCCTGCGTGTCCTTTGACTCCAAGCATAAGTGTCGTAGCTGGTGCATACAGAATAAATGCTCGACATTTTGTTACAAAAGTTTTGTTTTCGTATGAGAATCCATTTTGGAGAAGATCGTTCAAATCATCAACAAATTGTGTCAGAAACTTATTCACATCATTGGGATGAGATCGTCCACAAAAAATATCAACCACGAAAACTGAATCCGTCCCATTTACATTCACTAAAATAGGCCACACGCTCTTCAGCGAACTTTTCGAAATTGGCAATCCATCGATGTTAAAGTTCAATTCTAAAATATTTGTATGCACKTTATATTCCCGCAAAAAATCTGTCAAACAGTCTCTCACGCCATAATGCGCATATTCTCCACCTGCTAACGAGACAACTGGAGCATCAGTCGGCGTACGTTTTAGCGTTCTGATATCTTTTGGTAGACCTTCATTTTTGTCGCTTAATAAGTCCATTTATTAAGCATGTACACTGGACACATTGCTCTCTACAAACCATGCAGCTAAACATTTATTGAAATCAATAACGGCGCCATCGGACGAGTTCTCACTTTCATCAGAAATATAATCATCGTTTGGCAACAAGGAATCTAAATTATTCTGTGCTTCAGGCACAACCTCCTGTTCCACAAATTCACTCTGGGTACKTACAGAACTTGCAGCCGCACCGTTCCATAGATGTTCAAAAATTTCGAAGCTGCTGCGCACAACACTTTTCTTCTTTTTTGCTGCAGACATTAAATAAGTAGATTATTACCTTTTTTCAACGACGTTCGCAAAACACTTGCATTTGCAAACAAATTGTCAACGACATTCGCAAAACTCTTATTTATGTAAGCTTGCTGCAATCTTAATTTACAAAACGCTTGCCAATATGCTTGCTGGGTGTTTGTATGCTTGTGCATTATTTTTTCGGAAGTGTATACAAATATATGTACATATAAGTATATATGAATGTATGAGCATGCAGATCAATGCCTAACAACATGTAATATATTGATAAGTGATAACATAATTATTTGAATTTCTGAACGCGCACATGCGTATACATACATACATAAATTTATATGAGCAGATAATAAGATTATGATATGAGCATATGCAGAGACATAAGACTAATATGATAGAAGATATATGTTCATACGTATGTATATGTATATTGTTATGACAAATTTAATTTCTATTAGTAAGGAACATAATACAAAAATATTTATTAGTATAGTGTTGATGTTTAATAACGTTCGCGGAAGATGAATTGTATTTATGCGGATTGAACTGAAAGACTTGTTATGCGATCGAATTCCTTTATTGAAGAGAGAGATAAAACGGAAGCTGGTTGACAGCAAGCACATAAGTGCTGCCCTTGTAGCTTTAAACATATGTTTAAAAAGATGATGCCAGATAGGCGCGAACATACCGGCCGCCTTGAATAACAGTTCAAAAAAAGCTACAATTTTAATTAAATTCTAAGAATATCATACAGAAAATATGTCCCCCTTTGTTGGTAATAGTGA